GTTATAAAATCTTGGAACAAATATACAGTTCCCCAATATTGTTCTGTCTAAAGTAAGAAACATGTTTTGGCCCTGGAATCCACATCACTTTAAAATACTCATCTCCTGGGCCAGGGATGTAGCTCAGTAGTATGGTGCCTGCCTGGCAAGTGCAAGGTCCTGAGTTGAATTCCTGGTACAAAAAAAAAGACTATGAATTATAAAATATTCATATCCTATCTCCTGATGTTAGTAATGTCTGAAAGTGTATACATTTTTGAGGGGCACTAGATTTACATTCCAGTGTACATTAGGGAGATTTGAGTACTACAAGTCTCACTCTTGTTCTGAAAAGAAAAATAGAATCAAAAGGAAGATAAATGAAATTCTACTTTTCCAGTTAACAGCTGGGCTTTGGAACTCATTTATTGCCTATTATAATTATACAACTGTTATAATTCAGTATGTAAGAATAACTGAATAAAAAAGGAGGTGGAAGTACAAATTAGAAATGTACAGATTTATGTCTGATGGTCTGGCCAGTGAGTGCTCTAGAATGAACTACTCATAGGGGACTCTAAAGAAAAACCTGAAGATTATCTTATTTTTCTCCTTTAATGTGCAGATCTGTTTTGCTATTTGAGTATTTTAAGATTCAGACCTGAATAATAGCTACTCTCCCCATAGTCTCCCATTATAAAACACAATACAAATCTTAAGCCCAAATTTCAGCCTAAATTATAGAACATTACACTTGACATCTTTCATCATGGTTCATTTGTTTTGAATGAATGAAATTCTGCTTCTTAGGCTTAAGACATTATTACTCACAAAGGGCAGTAGTTGAAAATTAGGAACTTGGCCTGAATCCTGCAGTTTTCCATTTACCTGCATAACTAATGGACTTCTGAAGTTATAGAGATGCTAGCACTAACAGATTACATTACTACTCTCCATTGATTAATACCTGACATTTTTTCTACACTGTCTTTTCTCATTTAAATATTAACTCTAAAGGAAATAAGGTAGAGACTGTTAATTCTTTTTCATCTTAAATACAAACGACCAATAAGGAAATAAATATTAAAAAGTCATTTTAATGTGTTTTACAATTATTTATTTACACCTATAGCTAAAACAAAGTTAACTAATGATAAAATTTCTGTGAAAATAAAGAAATAATTTCCTTTTCTTTTGGTCACAGTATTACAAAACTACCATAAACTCTGGAAAGGGTAAAGAAAAATTATTCCTTGCAAGCAAAGACATTTGCTTTGTTGTAATAGTGCATTTTATTTCTTTTTAAGTAGGAAATATTTGTGTAAATCAATGACAAATTTAATCCAAAAGGGGCTGATATTAATTTTGTAATTTAAAAAGTATATTTTTAAAACATCCCATATTCTACTAATGCCTTTAGGTGACCCTAGAGGAAAGGACATTTTGCTTGGTGAAGATGAAGGAACATGTTCATATGGGAAATAGGAAGATAGAAGTTCTGGAGGTGACTCTGCAATGCCATATTTTCCATCTCTGCTGAACCAACCAATCCAAAGATTCCAGAGAATAAACTTCATGAATCATGAATTTCAGAAGTGGAAACTTCTGTCTTCTAATTAGTTTCTCACCAAGTAGATCAGACACAACATGGTAAACAGTAGGAATTTGTAGGACCTTTAGTTACATGTTCAAAATATATGTGAAGACAATGACAAGTTTTAGAAAATTATAATGGAAATCAAGGAGACTTTGTTTCTTATTCAGCTTGTTTTTTGATTATTCAATGAGGTATGGTCTAAATATTTTCTAAATGCAGCCAAGTTTGTTCACTGTCTGAAGATAACTTATATACTCTCACCCCAGGGTAATCACTAATTTGATTATTTCCAAATATTTTCTTATATATTAATAAAATGAAAAATAAAGTATAAAAATAAATTGTATTGTCACCATTTAAAGGCAAAAAGCATTGAGATATAGGAGCACAAATGTTCATGTTCCCTTTTTAAAAACTAATTTTGTTTAAAGCATGGTTTTAAAGGTTAAAGACACCTTCTCCTCCCTGGAAGCTATCCTAACCTACTGCTTTGATAAGATTCCATTGGTTTTCTGGGCAGAGATGTGACTCTCATTTCTCAGACATAGACATATTTTCCTCTTAATGATCACTGCTACAGTTCTGCACATGCCTTGTGGTTCAAGAGAGAAATAAACCAACCTGAAGGCAAATTCATCTTAGAAAACCCTTCTCTGTAAGTCTCCAGGTTACTGCACCTAGAGATTCTTTTACTGTAAGCCCCATAAGAGATATCACATATTTCTAAGGTTAAAACACACACAATCAGGGTACAGGGGTATAGTTACCAACAAGCATACAACTTATCTAATCATCTCTTAGTGGAGCAAATGCAGAGCTATGGAAATTCCCAGGATGCTGATTTCTTTGCATTGTAAGCAATCTGCCTCTCAATATTGTCATACACTATTTTAACCAGTGATACCCACTGCATGTCAGAATGCCAAAGAAACAGGAAAGCATCAACATAGTTATCACCAGAGAAACAAAATATTGTATTCTTTCTTAAGAAATAGCCATTAGAAAAAACGTTTGCCTACATGTTGGTTATAAGGCAGAGACACTTTCTAAATTCCTCTCAAAAAAAATCTGTACAACCATTCAGAAAAAAGCCATTCATTTTAATCAACCTTGCAGACCTCTGGGATTCATTAATGCAAAAATAAATATTATGTTTCAACCACATACTTTGTGAAGCTAGTATGTGGCTTTCAAAAACTAAATTATTTATGCAAAGCAATGTTCATATGCATATAAAATGTCAAATTGGAATTATTTAAGTGTTAAAAATTTATGACCAAAGTAAGAATATGGTGCATTGAGATTAAGGGACAGCATTCCACTAAATGTACCACTGAGACATTAATCTTTAATGGTATTGCTATTTCCTTAGGAAATTTTTAAAAAATCATTACACATAATTTTAAAACTACAAGCTTCAGAAAATGGATGAACTGGAAAGGAAACAACATTATCAAGCAATAATGTTTGCTTGGTCCTGACATTCACCATGAACCTCACCAGAGCGTATGGCAATAACAGTGAAGAGAAGCCACACTGATGACACAAAAGGCGCCTGTACGTGTGCACTGAGGGCAGTAGATAAACACATGCCTGGCTCCCTAATCCCCACACATCCTAGCTACCATCAACCTTCCCAGCCCGAGTCCATGCTCACACTCATGTGTGGCCAACCTTGTCAGTTTACAGTGATTGGCAGAGCCTCAATCCTACTTCTTCAGCATTTACTACACCTAGAAATTCTTTCCTCCCCTTTGAAAAATGTTTGCATATCCTAAATGCTTTCCATCCGTGAAGCTACAAAGGACTCCCGGCTGGATCTGCTCAGTGCTCTTCCTTCTGTCTTTGAATCTGGGCACTCTGTCCACAGTTGATGTGTATAGATTTTTAAGTACCATCAGCTCAGGAATTATAGCTTTTATTTATGCACACACCCACGTGATTAGCCAAGGCCTTGCACATACAGTAGTTGGCATTCAAGAAATACATGTAGACTGAAACTTAAAACAGTGATGTATTAAAAATACTATGAGGTGACGATTCCATATTATGAGTGAAGATAGCCACACAAAGTTAAAAAAAATTACTAAAATGGAATCTTAAGGAGAAATGGAAAAGATACCATTTCACAGAGAAAAACATGAGGAAAGTCATAGCCCATTCAATACACAGAAAGGAAATTGGTAAGGATATGTTACAGCTTAATACATGAGTCTTTCAGCAAGCCTTCTGTGAGCAGACCTGGAATCCTATTTACTGTGGTATCCTTGGTGATCCATGTAGCATTTGCCTCAAAGGACATGCTCAGGAACTACATACTGAATTGTTTAAGGAATATGCGGGAAATGCTTTTCAGGATTAGAATTTCCAATTTTGTAAATGGAACAAATTGGACTATTCATCAAAATGATGCTATTTGGCAGAGCATAGGTCTGAAATAAAGATTATCAACTTCTTTTGCCCTCAGTATTAGCAGAGGGATCTGACTATCTATAGATATTGGTTGAAATCCTAACACAGACGCATGAGGAAAAGACGCTAAAAGAAAGAAGGAAAAGTGAGTGGGGAACGGGCTAGTAGGATATAGAGGACAGAAAGAAGAAATGAATTAAAATATGGGAAATGGAAATGCTAACCTATAATTACCTAAGATCCACAAATGTGGTAGGTAAAATATTTAATAATATTTTTGAAAGATTAAGATGGTTTCAAACATAGCAAAAAATGTTACTACTCTCTAATTTGGACATCATTAATGAAAAACTCCAATTTCACTTAATTTGGTTGAAGATCCATTACATATATAGAATTAATTAGCAATATGAACTTAGTCATTGGTTAGCCTACACCACTTCAATTACTTATGTTTTATAACAAAAAGTGTATACCCAATGCTAACCCAGAATCTACAGGGACAGTTGCATAAGAAACGTTTCAAATTTTTACTATGTGTTGTTCTAAAACTTCAACCAAACACCACCAGTTCTTACTGTCCTCCCTCTCTGATATTCTTCAACATCAGGTTGGCTGCATCTGACTGAGACCAGTCTCCAGATGCCTTTGTCTTCTGTTTAAACAAGAGAATAATGAACAAAATAAAGTGGTATGTTTCATTTCATCATTTATTATTCAATGATGAAATGTTACAGTTTTACTGCCTATAAAATCAACTGGCCATAACTAACAAACAAAAATTAGAGTTGCTAATATAATTCATGCTGTGAATTAGGCTCAAATATTTATGCACTCAAAAGGAAAAGGAAAAAAACAGAATCAAATGAATGGAAAACCATAACTACTACTTTTTTTGTCAAACTCTAAAATGAAGACTTCTTAGTATATACAAAGAGATTTGAAAAAGAAAAGGCAATTCCGAGGCAATAAACATTTAAAAATTTATAACATTTGTTGAGAAAATACATACTGCTTTTCGTTTAAGAATGCAGTCCAATCTCCAACGATTTCCTTCAACCACGGGGCGTTTAAGGAAAATTTCTGGACTCAACCTGAAATCATAAAATCAAGATTTCAAAGAAATCACAGGACACAGGGGCAATTTTAGCTCAAATACTATCATCATATTGCACTGTAGCTGGTTTTGCTATGAGTCCAAATTACAACTTCATATAGGAGAAAGAAACTATCCATATAAAAACTCTATCTTAATTCTTCTTTTATGTTAATATGCACACTGATATACATGTAAATAGTTGATCACTTATCCAACAGCCAATCTTCATCCTGTTCTTCCTTGCCATGAAAGCCTACCTCTCAGTATAATATCTGAATATTCATAATACTAGTTTTCCTGGACAATGAAATACATGAAGTGGTACATCAGGTTACCGAGAAAGATTTTCCTCTTTGTTGGAACACCACACACACACACACACACACACACACACACACACACACACACACAAAGAGAAAGCCCTGTTCCCACTCTTCTGGCTTTAGGCTGGATGCTCTATGGGGCATGATGCTTAGGAAGAGATTGCCATATTGACAGAAGCCTAAAATCATTTGATCACTTCACCAACCCTAGCACTGCCCAACTTGAGAATTTCTCATTAACTGAGATGAGTAAGACCTCAGTGTTTAAGCCCTCCTCAACTGAGCTTTCTGTTACTATAAGCCAAAGGCACTTTAAATGACACACTTGCACACTGACTTTCTGCACCAGTAACAATGCCCATGGGAGCCTGGGGCTTTCTGAGCAGGTAGGGGCAAGGTACACTGAACATCTCCCAGTTCCAGACAGGACCCCTGGCTGGCTCCTCGCACTGAGTAGTGTTACAAGGCTGCTCAGAGTGCAGTGGAGTACATTTCCCCTTGGGACAGCTTTAAAGTCAAGATGTACGTTAAATATGTATTTAATGTAACTCCCATGTCAGGAGGAAAAAACAAACAACCAGGAAAAAACAAAACAGAACAAAACTTTTTCTTCCCTGAATTCTAAGCCTTGAGGAGCAGGGAGAGATTGTGCAAAGATTAAAGCCTCACAGAATTCTGGATTGGAACACCCTGCCAAGGAGTCCTCTAAGCAAATGAAAACAATGGCATTTGAAGGAGCTAAAGAGACAAGAAGAAATCATTTTATGCTCTAATTCATTCAGTTAAAAAAATGCAAAGATACATTCTAAAGGAAGCACACACTGGATAAGGCCCAAAAGGAAACAGAAAAGCATGCACAGAATAAGCGCTTACATATTTAATTTATAGTGGGAAACAGGCTTAAAGATAATCTGAGTCCAAGTTAAAAAAAAAACACCACACAGTAATTAATCAGAAGGGAGGATAGGGAATGGGGAAAAAATAAGAACCAAGATACATCATGTACAGGTACAAGCACCCAATGATAAATGTAAGCATATTGTATACCTAAAATGTACCAATAAAAGAATTTAAGCAAAAAAAAAATATCAGAGAAGATTACAAAGAGGGCTGTTTTAAGGAGAAAAGCACAGTGCTGTACACTGCTAGCTCACTGAAGAAGAGAGATGTCCAATAGTATAGATATATTGGTAACTTTTTAAAAATCCCTGAAGTGACCTTTGGTTTGGGGGTCACATATATGTCACAACCAAGTCCTTTTTTATTTAACCTCCAAATGTTGTTTATCCTGGATGGAGAGCATTCTACTATGAGGAACAATCAAAATATACAGTGAATATTTACTTTGTTTAAAAGTAAAACACACATTAATCCCCCTTCAAAATACTTCCCCAAGCTTTGAATCCACTTATCCCATCATTCTTGCCACTTTCTGAAGCAGTTCTGGAAGTCTTCTTTTGTGTCTCTAAGAAGAATTATCGAAAACGTAATAAATGCGGTTGCCAAGTACCATCCAATGGAAAAGCAGGCTCATACAAACATTACTGTGTGTCCTCATCCACTTTATTCATCAGATCTGGCATCATGCACCTCTGGCTCTACCCCAAAATCAAAATGATCACAAAAGGTAAATGTTTTGAATCAACTCAGTACATTGAGGCATACAAGACAGTACAACTGACGACATGCGTGAAAAAAGACTTCAGAGCTGCTTCAGAAAGTAGTAAAAATTATGGGATAAGTGTGTTTGAAGTGAGGGGGAGTTAGGATTAGGGTTAATAGTAGTATATTGAGGGGGATTAATGACAATGTAATTTTTATTATAATAAACTTTTTAATTTTAAATATTCACCATATTTTTACCACACCTCATAAATACTTTGAAGAATCTTAAGATAGCTCTCAAAGAGCACTCAATTTTGAGGATAATTCATAAGATGATAAAAGAGATATTCAAACTATAACCAAAGCATAAGTAATGGCCATATACAAGAAGAAAGCAGCTATGACTCATCAGGTATCTTTCCATCAGAATCTTTATTCAGTAATTATTAGATAAGCAAGATTCAAAAGAATGGAATAATATGGCATTTCATTGAACCTCAGACACCAATGATGATAAGCTACATCACTACGGTAGTATGTAATTTTTACTAACAAAAAATGACAATTACAACTGTAAGATGTTGTTGAATATAGGACGCATTCTGATTTCAGAGACATTAAAATGTACCTTTCAGTAAATGTACTACTTAAAATATTTTAAGGCAGGTTATGGTTTTGAATATTTATATAAGAAAAACTTTAAAATCAATGGTCATAGTTCCCATTTTAAGACAGAAAAAGAGCAAATTACACTCAAAGTGAGAAGAAAGAAAACAATAATAAGGATAAAAGTAGAATTCAATAAAATATAAAATTGAAAAACAAGAGAAAATTAAATGAAAAACTGACCTTTTGAAATATCAAAAAAAATGGTAAACTTCTAGCAAGTTTTTTTTTCAAAAAAGAAAAAAGCATATCATAATAGTATGAAAAAATGAAATCACTATGAGGTCCACCGACATTAAAATAACATTAAATGGGTAAGGGAATAATATAAAAATTTCATGCTGATATTTTACAATAATGTAGATAAAATAGACAAATTCATTGAAAAATAAGTTCCTAAAATGGAAACAAAAAAAATAAAAACTCTGACTACCTTTATACTTAGGAAAAAATTGAGCTCATAATTTAAACTTTTTCATAATGAAAACCTCGGACCCAGACAACTTGACAGTTGAAGTTTGTTAAATGTATAAGGAAGAAATGTCAGTACTACTCAAACTGTTTCAGAAGACAAAGGAAGAAAGAATATTTACTAAGTCATTCAATGAAGCCAGCATTATCTTGATATCAAACCAAACAATGACAATGCAAGAAACAAAAACTACAAAACAACATCTCTATGATCATAAAAGTGAAAAGTTTGTCCCTATTTAAATAGGGAAAGGTGGAGGGGTTGAAAGGAGGGCACAGAAATGGGGAAAAAAAATAAGAACCAAGACATACCATGGAAAGGTACAAATTCCCAATGATGAATGTCATCATATTGTATACCTAAAATGTATCAATAAACTTAATTTCAAAAAAGTGAAAGTTTGTATAAAAAAACCCATCAGTTTATCCCAGGGTTACTTTGGGGATGTAGAGTTGGTTTAAAAGTTTAAAATCAATCAATATATATGTCACAAATTAAGAGGTTAGAAGAGAGAGAAAAAGGAAAAGATGAAAAGAAAGGAGGAGAATAAGAAGAGAAGAAAGAAGAGGAGGAGGAGAGATTTCAAAAGAAGCATCTGTTCAAAAAATGCAGAAAAAATTTACAATACCCAAAATCTGTTCACAATAAAAAAATCTTAAATTATAAACAGAAATGGATTTACTCAGTAAAGAGAACCTATAAAAATATTTCTCTAATATCACACACATTTATATGTGTTTAATGGGAATGAAGCATGGAGACCATTCTACCACTTCTATTCAACATTTTACTGATGATCCTAGCCAATGTAATAAAGCAAGAGAATAAAATACAAAGCATATCAATTTGAAAAGAAGTTGGATCTTCTTTATTCATGGAGCACATAGTTATGTACGGAGAGAAATCCTAAAGAAATCTACACAATATAAGCTAGCACTATGAAGTTAATTTAGCCTGGTCACAAGATACAAGGGCAATACACAAATATCAGTTGTATTTCTAGTTCTTTCTTGCTCTCAGTGAATAATTAGAAAATGAATTTTAAAATACCATGTGTTAGAACATCAAAAAACATGTAGTACTTAGTGACAAACTTAACAAATTTGTATAAGACCTCCACACAGAAAAGTACAAAACAATTCTGGGAGGAATTAAATAAGATCTAATAAACACACGAATAAATAGTAAATAAATATGTAGTGTTCTTGAATTCAGGGGCTTAATATTGAAGAAGAAAAATAGAATTTTAATTACTACATAACCAATGGTAAATTTCCTAGTTTTCCCCTTTGTTTTCTCAGACTGGAGAGGAAACCTAAAAGGAGGTTAGCACAGAGAGAACTCAAGAAGTTGTCTAGGTCAGGATTGACAAAAAAGAAAGGGACTATCTGCAGTGAGAGGTGTTGCAGCAGAGCCCACAGCACAGATAATTCTGTATGTGTGTGGGCCAGGGCCCTCTCCAGATGGAAGAGCTTTGATGCCTAGAGGCAGATATAAGACCTAAGATTTGACTCCATACATGGGTGCTACCACAGAAACCATGCGGCAGAACAAGGTGAATAAACACCTTTCCAGCTACTCACTGAAAAAGGGAATCTTCAGGAAACTCGAAAGTAGTTTGGAGCTCATGGAAAGAGAGGAGCTTAGGAAAGCAATCCATAAAGTTGTTTATAATCTCCTGTCTCTCATCAGCTGTCCATGCACATAGATTTGACCCTAAGCAGCATACTAAAGCATTTGAGAATGGAACTAAGGACAGACCACTCAAGTCCCAGACTAGCCACCAGGTGGCACACATATGGCACCAATTTGAATGGCACTACAAAAACTTTACAAACAAAACTGACATTAAAACCACACCCAGGAAAGCTGGATGGAACTTTCTTTCTAAACCCAAATGAATCAATTCCCTGCTCAAACAAAAATAACAATATTTTCCATAAGATTTTAACAAAACTCAGAATCTTATAAAATTTTTCTAGAATAAAAAAATTACTGGGCACACTAAGAACCAGAAAAATCTCAACTTGCGTGGAAAAGATAATTAACAGGTGGTAACAGCATGATGACATGGATATTGGAATAAATAGGGCAACACTCTTGAAAGAAATGAAAAGGCAGAAAGTCTCACCAAAGAAATGGAAGATATAAAGAGAACCAAATGAAAACTAAAATTACAACAAAAATATATCAAAGTATCACTGGATAAGCACAAAGCTAGAATGGACATTACAGGGGGAACAAAACAGTAAACTTGAAGAGAACTAAAAAGAAATTATATAATCTGAACAACAAGGAGAGAAAATATTTTACAAAAATAGAGCCTCAAAGATTGTGCAATAATACCAAAAAGATACTTGTGTCATTGAAAACTTAGAAGAGGAATACAAAAAAAGAAAAAGAAGTACCAAAATAAATATGGCGAGAATTTCTCCAATTTGGCAAAAGATGTAAAACTATAGATTCGAGCTCAGAGTACCCCAAACAGGATAAACCCAAATATTAAAACCAAACTACTGAAAATCAAAGACAAAGGAAGAATATTAAAAGCACTCAAAAGAAAAATAACACATTACTCATGGGAGAACAATGATTCAAGTGACTGAACATTTCTCACCAGAAACCATGAAGGCTAGAATGAAATGGAGCAACTACTTTAACTAGAGTCTATACAACCAAGAAGACAAACAACTTAAAAAAAAGAAGAAAAACCCTCGGTTCAATCCCCAGTACCACAAAGAAGGAAAAAGATTTGAACACGTTTCCAAAAAAAGTTTTTAAATGTCCAAAATGCACATGAAAATCTGCTTATCACAAAGTTGCTGATAAAAAATGAAAACCACAATGAAATACTACTGCATACTTTTTAGATAAAACCAAGAACTTCCTCTATTTTTCATGAAGGAAGCTACTATGGGGGTCTTATTTCAAAGTGCATGTTGTAATAAGATGTTATCTTAATACAGTTATGAAAGAGAAACATCATCCTGATTCACTCTCTTGCTGAAAGTAGAAAAGACTCAGTGTTCTCTTTAGCTGTTTCAACAAGAGCCTGTATTTTAGTGTTCAGAACCTTCAAATGAGATAGTGTTTTCTTGCATAAAGCATGAAACTATGAGGGCTTGGCATGTAGCTCAGTGGTAAAGTGTTTGCCATAGGTCTGGGGTTAGATCCCCAGCATCAAGGAAAGAAGGAAAGAAGAAAAGGAGAGAGAGAAAGAGGGAGGAAGGGGAAAAAGAAAAAAGAAAAGAAAAATATGGGTTCAATGGAAAAACTTTTTCCTCTCTCTTATATCTTAGACAAACTTTCAGAAATATTTTTAAAATATAGTGCTATATTAAGCTTGAATTTATTCTCATCATACTCAACTAAAAGAAATCTTCTAAGTATGAGACATTTTTCCTTTTTGGCAACTTATTTAAAGTTGGACTAGGATTAAGCTACTCTGCAGACATGAGCATAATGACCATTACAGGCCTTATCTGTTGATTAGATGGATGATTCTCAACCAAAAGAGACATCAACCCCCAGCCCCACCCCCACTCCTCTGCTGATCCAGCCAAGAGATATTTGGAAATGTTTACAGACATTTTTATTGTTATAACTGGGAACTTGTTACTGGCATTTAGTGCGCAGAAGGCACGATACTGCTCAATGTCGTACAATATGCAGGACAGTCATTTGCAATAAAGAATTAGCTGATCCAAAATATCAATAACCTCAAGATTGAGAAAGCAGGCTCTAGAATCACAAACTGTTACATAACTTGGGTAAAACAGTAGAAGATGGGTTCATACTCCTACTGCCCTCCACTGCTCCCAAAATCGAGAATGAAAAGGAAATAAATTATGGTGATAGTTTTACACTTCCTATATCAGGTACCATTTGGAAGGAAATAAGATAGACAAAATTTTTATAAGGGCCATTTCAGCCAACTAAATTCCTACCTAGAAGGGAAACATATTTTAGACATTTTCATTTCCATTATAGCCAAAGCTGGCATCTGTGATGGGTTTTAGCGGTACAGGTAGACAGGCAGTTGAAATTGGAGTCAGATTACAAAGCCTATACCTACTCCAAGAGCAAAATTTCCCAAGAGTTCATGAATTTTAGATATGAGATTTCCAGTGGGCTTAATAAGCATCATTACTCCCATGGGCATTTTTAAAGAGGGTCAGAAAGTTGAAGCCTGATATATGTCCAGAAGAGCTGGCTAGGCCTAGTCATTACAGAGGGCATTTTTAACAGTAGCAGGCAAATGGAACTATTTCAACAGCCAAGGGACAATTCAGAAGAAGCATGTTTACTGGACCTACTGATAGCCATGTCAAGTTAAGAAAAGATACCCAAGGGGGATGAGGGGCCATTACTTCTACAATCATACTTGCACTGCAGCATAATCTTCACTAAAATGAATACTTGAGTGTTTATTTCCAAATGGAAAGACAAAAACAAAATTTCCAGGCTAAAAACATTACGAATATATTTGGAGGCTAAGGTTTGTTAATGACTATCAGTTAATTGATTGACACTTTGGCCAAATCATCCTTGGGTAGTGCTGGTTTTCATTAACACCCAATTTCTAAATGTGCTGCATTATACTGTGGTACATTTATAAACACAGAAACCTCTGGACAAAAGTCTCCTGGATAAGTACTAACCACCAATCTGTGATAAAAATCTCTTCTTTTGCCTCTTCCATTGCATTTGCCACATCTTCAAAATATCCTTTGGCATTAACGTACCTGAAAGACAAGGGTCTTTTATTCCTATTTTTTGTTTTTGTTTTATGAAACAAGACAAAAAAGAAAAATAAATTTATCCTATGGTAAAGGCGAATATGGATGGCCCTGCCTAGAGTCTCTATCTCACCACCGGTTTACTTTGTGTAAATGGAAAACAAAGATTAAAATATGACCTTCCATCTGCTACCTAGGAAGGGCAGGAAGCCCACAGATTTCTGATTCCTGATTCCTCTCTGTCCAGAGTGCAATAAATTCATTGAGCTATGTTATCACACAGGGACAGATGAATTCCCATATCATGTGAAATTCACATGTGGTTTTTCATCTGAGCCTAAAATCAGACTGAATCCCAATCATAGGAAGAAAAATACATTGATTTAAAAAAATAATAATTTTTAAAAATAGCATGATTTTATTTAAAAGAAATTCTAGTAAGTCAATGCTTTTTCATAAATTATGGCTAATGATTTGGATAAACTTTCCATTTGCCTCACTAAAGATATGTATGAAGTTAGGTTGAAAAATCAAACTTTCAGGTCTGAAGGTAGCTAAGGTCGCTGGGAAAAACCTTGTAAAAATTGAAAACCTAATCTATTAATCAGGTAATCCTTCAAGGGCCTCAGAAAGACAGGACCTTGTTAAATATAACGCATAATCTCTTTCTACAGTATTGAAAGTTGAGTCTAGGTGAACTGCAAGCATTATACAATTAGATGCTATGAATACTTTGATGTCACAGAGCAAAAAAAGAGCTTACCATTTAGCTAAAGTGCTGTCCTGGATAGCAGCATATGACCCAAATCGATGGTCCTTGAGAAAGTTGGCGCCATATTTCTGGATGAAATCTTCTATAGCTCCTCCCCACCACCGAGCATGTCTGTAGCTGTTGCATTTTAAAATAAGTGTCCTTTCAGAAAAGAAAAAAGCAAAAGGTAAAAACTACTCTCTGTTCTGTCTCTTGAAACAAATTTATAGATTAAATGTGCTCTATTTTATTTATTACTATAACAAACATAAATTGAAAGTTAGGGAAAGAACATAAAAAATACAGGCTGCTAAAAATCTTGGTAGAATTTCTGAAAATATTCAATATACAAAAAAAAAGAAATCTTCAGGCTACTTTTTCACTCAGTCACTCATGCAAACACATATCCAGGTACTTATTATGGACTCAGAGTTGTGCTAGGCTAGGAGAAGGCTCATGCAAGAGGTGGAAGATTCAAATGTCAGAGAGCTGTGCTGTCTGGTGTTAACTCGCTTGGCTTCTGGAAATGTCGTCTTGACTATGTTTTAGGAGAGTCATCCCTTTCCTTTTCTGAGTCCACCAAAGGTAAGCAAAGTGGAATATTTCATTCCCCTGATCCCAGCAGTTGATTCCTGCATAAGTGTGTGAGCCAATTCTCTGCAAGAGAGCAAATTTGAGGACTTACTCAGGAATGCCAGGAAGACTTCCTGCCCCTGAATCTGAAGGGTAGGAGGCAGCCAACTAGCCACTATGAGACCAGTCAGCAGATGGAGCAGATGAATAGATGAGAGAACTGGGAAAAGACAGGAAATGTGTCTTAGTGATGTAGTTTGTGCCTCACAATTAGATAGCTCAGAATACTTGATTAGTTCTGTCTGGTATAACCCAGTTTGCATTCAACTTTTTTGTCCCAATGACTAAACTATCCTAAATTATTAGAGATTTATTTATGCTGGAAAAAGTTCAGGATAGATTACAGAAAGTTTTTTTGATGTCAAGTAATAGAACTGGTGATTTCCACTAAGAGATAATATGAAATGCAAAGCAGAACAAGGTGTTGGAGGCAGCATTTAGGCAGAAATCTACCACCACACCAGCACAAGGGGACTGAGTGAGGAGGAGGTTCTATTTCTGGGGGATATGGAACAATCGTCATAAAGCAAGAAAGGGCCTGTGTTCACAAACTCTGAAATAATTATTTTTAAAGATTAGGGATGTTCAAACTTCTTTCCACCACATGATGGATGCCATACTCTAAAGACGTTAATGCTGATCTTGCTCTAATGCAGAGACAAGGTGGTAAGACACAGAGGGGCTGGGAGAGGAGAGGCATCCTAGATCAGGTGTGCAAAGCAGATACAGTTTCTGGGGGAAAGAGCAAGAGGACACAGAATGCCTGCGTTAGACCTGTCATGCAAATACTACTGAATTTGAGTTTAAAATGACTCTGCAAACCAGTTATGAGAAGAAGATTCTGTGGGAAGATAAGCGACAGACACGCAGAAGCCAGGAAGAGTCTGGGAGAGACAAGGGACACGCACAGGCCTTGTCAGAGTGTGCTTATGTGTGGTGGGAACCACTCAAAATAGGAAGAACAAAGACGAAGAGTTGAGAAAAAACGTAGTAAAGAGAAGAGCAGTAAAGAGAACATGGGACTACAAAGGCAAAGAGATAAAGGGCCTTAAATTATAAATGGAGAATTTGGGCTTATTTGATAAAAAGATGATGAGCAGCACATATGCCAGGGAAGAGGCTGGTGAAACCTGGATTTGAACAGATTCATTTGGCAATGGTGCACATTAAGCGAGGGCTGGGAATGGAGACAAGGAGGCCAATAATATCACTGTTACAGGGACCAATGAGAACTGTGGCCTGACTTCTCTGATGCTATGGAAAACAGTGCTAGGAAGAAGAGTGAATGGCAGTGCTATGGTATTTCCAACAACAATCCTGGCCATTTCTTTTTCAGAGAATAACAGGAAGCTCAGCACCTGCTTACACCATCACATGCACACATATGCACATACATGCACCAAAGTGTATTAGTAGGGATATGCATACCTATGTTGGTAACTGTGAAGAAAGAAATGTACATATATTCATATACATAAAGGTGAACTATGTAGGGATAAATATGTATATCTATACACACATGTATTTTTATATATATATGGTATAATTATATTCCAGAGTCATGCATATCAACACATAAACTCACTAATAAAATCTATAATAAATGTAGACTTAAGTATCTCTTCAAGATATTTTTCTTTAAAAACATATGTGTAGATAGAATTTTTAAAAGTCAAATAACTTTTCAGGTCTTTTATTTATTAAAGGATATTGATTTATAAAGTTTTATTATTTTTTAGATGTAAAATATCACTCTTTAACAGTTTGGTAAACTGAGTAATGAAATTCTATTATAATAGACATATATCCACATATTGGATCATTTATTCTTATTCTGTTGCATAAAGGATATGCTTCTTAAAAATCTACATAGGAAAAGGTTTTATAACTTCTGATTGATAAACTCCAAATAACAATTTCCTATTATTTAGGCAATTTTATTTCTTTCTCAGGGTTGAGAGAAAAAAATTGTTAAGAAATTCTGGTAGAAATACTTTTTAAGTATTTGCAGCTTGAAAGATTATCTTTACCTTGAAAGATTATCAATTCGAAGTCCATATTTCGTTTCTGTGTCTTTCTTCCCCACCTTAATTCTAAATTCTTTATCTACCAGCAGAACGAAGGCAATAGCACCACTGTCTGGTTTCATATATAATAAAAAGGAATCTTTCACTACTAACCACCTGTAAAAAGGTAATAAGAACTTTTGAAACCCAAAGAATAAATTATTACAACAAATCTAAGTAAACTTTCTAGTAGACAGTAGATATACTTTCATATTTTACATGGAGTTATTTTTTTCAAATCACTCTGAAGCAAAACAAAACACAAACCCTATTATGTTTTTCCTAAGAATTATTAGCACCAAGCAATTAAAAATAATTCAATAGCTCTTTAAACATGAAAGGCAAAACCTGTAAGAATGTCCTTGATATTGGTGGCTGGCACTGGTAGGATGTACAAAGGACATCCAGTTGTTGGGAGAACAGAATAAGCTGAGAGTTAGGGTACAGGAGGAAATAGCAAAGATAAGTCAGACATGGAACCACGTTCTCAGAGGAGCCTGCTAGGCTAATAGGAACACAAACAATGATAATTTGAGGCTAAATGGGAAAGGTACTAGAAAAGAGAAGCAAAAAATAATAGGTGCAAAGAAGAGGGAGTCCTCAGTCCTTGCTAAAAGGATGAGGCCGTGGAACTGTCTTAAAGAGAGGGTGTTGCAGTGAGGCAGGAAGGGTCCCAACAATTAGAGCCCAGAGTGGGCGAGGATCCAGGGGCACACCCCACAGGAAGGGACAAGACAGTAAAAGCACTAAGTATGGAAATGCTGCATGTGCTGGGGAAACTGTGGAGGGCCAGAGCTTCAGGGATATGTGTGAGAAAATGGGCAAAGGGCACACTGAGTTGAGTTTGAAAGCAAGAAGGCTGATTTTGTATCACGAAACCAGTGTTTCCTAAGCTTGCCCAATGATCAGAAAATCTCTTGTGATACTTGTTAAAAAGAACTGATCACTGGGCCCCACTCGGGATCCATTCCAACCGCCTGAGAGTGTGGTTTTTAACAAAAATATCAAAGTAATTGTTTTGTTTTGTTCTAAGACAGAATCTCATTATGTAGCTCAGGCTGACCTTGAACTCACTAAGTAGCCCAGGCTGGCCTCAATTCACAGCAATTCTCCTGCCTCAGTCTCCCCAGTGCTGGGATTACAGGGGCATACTACCATACCCAACAAGGCAATTGTTAAATAAAGGACTCCTCATGCCCTTGCAAGGCAACAGAACAAAAATATCCTTGGACCTATGTTTTAGAAAAAATTATGAAGACAAAGAGTGATGTGGTGTGGAAGGTTAGCAAGCTACTGCAGTAATACAGATCAGCTCTTCTCACAGATTAGTGTGCATACACAGCTCCCCAAAGATCCTGATAAAATGCAGATTCCAATTCAGTAGGGCAGGACCTGATCTATATTTTTAGCAAACTCACAGGTGATGGCCATGCTAGGACCACATCCTGTGTAGTATTGATTTAGATAACTGACAATGAGAAGACCAGGAGAGACGAGATGGAATAAATTTGAAGTGGATACATCTATAAATATAACTATTATGCTGCAATATAACATGTATCTTGAGGGGAATTAATGGCAATGTATTTTTCACTGTACTCAAATTTTTAAATTTAAGCACTTTATTTTTTATTACACCTCACATAAATATAACTATTATGGTCCAGAGCATACATATTTGTATACAGTGTATACATATTTGCCTGTAACTGTATAGTGATCAGATGAATCAGGTAGTAACTCAATAAAGTAATAATGACCATAATATCATATATCAGGCAAAGTAAAGCACATAGGTGATCCTACCTGAGTGGAACCGGCAAGGTTACAACACCTGTTTATAAATTAAGTAATATGTACAGGTAGCATAGGAACTCAGCAGTTAAAATAAATCTATGAAAAATATTTACAGACATTGCTAACAACATTATGCTTTAGTGTCTCTATAATCTGGATCCAATGTGGATAGTTCTGTTTCATTCAATTGTCTTTAAAGGGATAGGCTGAATCCTGCCCAATAAAAGAGGACTCGGTGGATAATTTACAATGAAGGACATATGATATAGTTAATAGAAGAAAAACCATCAAGAGCACAGAATGCAATAACTAACCACAAAGGTTAATATAATTAGAGAGATGGCACACCAAAATGGGCCAGAGCTTCCTGGTTTTTCTTGTCAAATGAATAAATAAAAGAAATAAAGAGGTATGAACAAAACCAAATGCCAAAGAAAGTTTCTTCCTGGGGACCTAAAATAAGGCAACTGAAAAATATAATGGATAATATTCTCAATAACAATTTTTAGTGAACGCAGATATTATACATTTTATAAGAAACTTGATAACATTCAGTATAAACACCAAGGCCACGATACCAAAGGATACCTCATGATTCTGATGAGACTGAGTTATTAGTTCAGACTCACCCAGCTGCCTATTGAGAAGACTTGGTTAAGGTTAAAAGACACTAGTAGATCACGTGTCTATCAAAGTTTCTTCTTTCCTGTGGCTTGGGATATAAGCTAGAGAGCAGACAGCATGGCACAAGCACAGTTATCTGGCACTAGTGTGCTACGTTGTGATCAGGAAAGGGCAACGGGCTTTGAAAACCACAGCTGGCAGAGCTGACAATTTGAGAATCTGTCACATGTCCTGGACTCATGACTTGCCTGCCTGTCTGTCAAGAATATATGAATAACATCAGAGCCAGCTCTGGCCAGAACGCCATACCAAAGAAATGGGCAATGTGGGATGATGATGGTATGCGTCATTTCCAGATATACCAAACTTCCACCACTGCAGTAGAAAACAAACCTGAGAAATGCTCTGAAGTGCAAACATTTGTGGCATAACCACCGAGGCCAAGGGCTGCCCAATATGTCTTTAGCTAGAAGTCACTACATGCCATTGAGCAGGTGTGCCCTGCTCAAGATTCCGGCTAAAGAGACTCCAGAGAAGGCTGCATTTTGCTGCAGGAATAGGGCACTTATCTCTACATCACAAAGACTCCTGTGGACTGCAGTCTCCTTCAACAATGAGATGGCTCTGAATATTGCAGGGCCAGGTCACTGCTCAACTCTAGGGGGGCCATTCACATTGTATCCTAAGTGTATAGTTCTTCCCTTGCTCCTCCAAGGTGTGACAGCCTAGAAATACAGAACTGCTTAGCATTGTCACCTGGAGTTTGGAAACAATGCAAAATAGAATGGTTTCTATTTGTCAATGATGGGGAATTCTTAACAGTCATTAGATACCAGGCAAAACACCCTTACTAAAAGCTCTTCTTAATAGTGCCATCCTTAAAGTCCTCTGAACCCCCACTCCCACCCCTTCCATAGATTTGCTTTTCTTCAACAGGAGGATATGCATCAAGAAGGGATGAAGCACCTGCCCCCAGGTCAGCCTATGTGAGCTCCAATTCCAGCTCTGCTTCTCCTTCTCAGACTCATCTCTTTCCTCTTTCTCACCATGCTGGTCTAACTGTGCTTTTTGACAAATTTGTGGGGGTTTTGTTTTGTTTTGTTTTTTGAGCTTCTACATGTGCTCTTCTGTGCAGAAAATGTTTCTTCCAGATGCCCCCAGAGAGAGTCTCTTCTTGTCAGTCAGACCTCTGTTTAAACACACCTCCACAGCAAGGCTGTTTGACCTGAAAGAGCTGTCCCCAACCCCTGCTGCACTCCAACATGCTATGCTGCTCCAACCTTCTTCACAGCACACCTCCAAGTATTCATCTGCCTGCATATGATCTGTCTCCCAAACTAGGAAATAGGATACTTGAGTGTAAGGAATGTGGATGTTATGTACACCCTGTCTGTCCAGGGCCTGGAATAATCTTCTAGCAGCCCAGAGCAAGTGTTCAGGCAGAGCAACTATCCTAACTGAATCTTACATGAAAATATCCCCAGAACATGAATGAAACCATTTAAATACTATTACTGTCTAAAAATCTTAATTCTTGGAATAGGTCATAGTCCAGCAATGTAAATGGTAAATTTATTGCTTAACATCTACACAACTCTTTCTCTTAAGACATTATCTGAGATGATAAACTTAATGTCTACCAAGTGCAAAGATTTTGCTCAATAAACATGCTCCTAATGGGCTGGGGATTTAGCTCAGTGGTGCTGCTGCCTGCCACGCAAGCGTGAGGTCGAGTTTGATCCCCAGTACCAAAAGAAAAATAAATAAATAAAATAAAATAAACGTGCTCCTTAAGTACATGTTTTGCGTTGTTGGAAGAAATGCTTCCTGTGTTTGTCTTTTCTTTCTACTTGCCCCTGCAAAGAGGCCACTACGAGAAATGATTTAAAATTTAACTGCCCTGTTTGCCTTACCTTGTCAATATAAGATAAAAAAAATATCAAAATGCTTTTTATGGGTACCTAATAAAAGAGGGTTGTAAATGAAAGTCACCTTTAAAAGTAACTCCCACTTATACACCAATCAATAGACTTCGACTGTGAGAAACTCTGCAAACTAATTTTGTCAGTTATACTTTATCATCTATATATGAAGTCTGATACTTTAAATCCCTCAATTTGACTCAGAAAATATTAACATGGGACTAGGCTTTAATCTTCACAGAAAGACCTGCACAATTTATAATAAGGACACATTTCATTCCAGGGAAGATCATATCTTTTTAGATTGTCCTGGCTGAAACATGATTTAATCCAAAAATTTTTTTAAAAGAGGAAGCACATTTTCTTTTATATAACGAACTCTTTCCCCATCTTTCCTAGCTTCATTTTTGTAGAGGTCACACCTCAAAAGCCAGCTTCTCAAGGTGCTCCCAGACTCCTCCAGCTAAAGCCACCCATTCTGGTTCCCAAATCCCTCACTGTACCATTGCCTTGGTTTTCCTCTACAGCTTTTCACTACTTGAATTTACACCACTGTCATTACTTGTTGACTTAGTTATTGCCTTCATTTCTCTCAAACAGAGCTCCATGAGGGCAGGAGCTTCTCTTCACACAGGACAGAACACAAGCTGGTAGACATGAGGCACTTCATAAATGACTGAAAGAGTAGCTGCCTTAGGTTGAGTCACCACAGGTGTAAGCTCTAAAACCAGGACATAAGTCCGTAAAGCAGTTTAGAAAGGAGCTTATTAGGCGGTGGTGCCAGGAAGGGAAGCTTCAGAGGGAAGGACAGGGAGGGAGGAAGGAAGGAAGGAAGCCCTTGTGGATGTGTTGCCTGCACTTTACAATGGACAGCCAGGCTGCGGGCCAGCTGGGAGCTCTAGGAGACAGCGCTAGAACATGCTGCAAGATCATCACACCCCAAAGGGGAGCTGGCAGGAGTCAGTAGCTGCAAGAGGGCTGCTGACATCTCCCATCTACTCTGCACAAGCAGGAGGGCTATGAGAATCTTTAGTCAAACAATCACCGGTGCTTAAAGCTGAAGTCTGAAATGCTCTAGGCAACACGTACCAGCTGACTTATGCAAGTTAATGACTAAGGAGGAATGGTTAGAAGGAATCCACCTAAAGTTCCAAGGGCTAGAAAGCCAGCCCCCAGGAGAGGCTGGTGCAGGGTGAGGAGCCCCAGCAGAAGCAGCAGGTCCTTCTTCTCTTCCCGCTTGGCTTGGGTCTGAGTCTTCCCCAGGGTGCTGTGCACTGTGGCATGAGAGAGACATCTCAAGTGGGAGTCTCTGGGTTTTCTGCGACGTTACATATGCCCCAAGTTTTTATAGGGTAGAGAGAAGTTTATTTGAAAGCAAATATCTTTTCTAGTATAAATTTCCCTTTATATTTTAGTAAGTTTTTTATAACAGAAATTTTCCATTTTCTTCAGTTTAATCTTCTGATTTTTTCATTGTAATTTTTTTCTATTCTTCCAAAACTCATAAAGTAACAGCCCAGCTTAGTGAGGTTTTAGTGAGGGCTTTTTTTTTTTTTTGGCAATAGCATATTTTAAATAAACATGTTTAAAAGTAGATCCTGTATTACTTTTATATATTTTGAATACACACATAGCTTAATTCCTTATTTACAAGAGAACTCATTTATCATTTTCAAGTCGAGCAATATAACATAAAATATATATGTATATCTAATTTATTAATAATGTTTTAGCAGTTTTTTAAAATCCTGGTACATTATTATTACAACAGTTTTTGTGTGTTCTGTCTAAAACTTGGGAAGACACAAATTAAACTCAGGAGAGAATTCTGCTCCTCAAGGAATCTTCAGTTGGTTGGGACATAAGACAAAATAAAGTTAAAAAAAAATAAAAAAATAAAAAAATAAAGTTCCCTATCTCACACTTACCATAAAACACATTTTTCACAAATATAATCTAAAATTATCATCCCTGAAGTCTTCCAAATTTTTTCTTTTTATTCTTTTAAAGTGTACAATTTAGTTGTTTTTAAATACTTGTGAAAAGTTACAAAACTGCAACTAATATCTAACTCCAGAATATTTCTATTATTCCATAAAGAAATCCCATACTCATTAGGAGGATTAAATTAGGAAAAGAAACTCCCTTCAGTTCCTGGATGCTCTTTATTTAATTTGCTCTCCAGAGATGAAGAAATTATGTAATATGTGGTTTCTTTGCATCTAGCTTTTTCACTTATGATAATTTCAAGGTTCATCCACACTGAAGCATGTATAGTACATCATTCCCTTTAAATTTTATACTGATACACAGTTATGGATCATTAGGAAAAAAACTATGGTAATATCTATAAGAGTTCAGCTAGAGTTTTAAATTTCTTAAGCGAGATTTGTTCTTCAAATTGTCTCTTCTTACAGCTAAAACTAGAGAGATTTATGACAAAGTATCAGACTTATACATAACTTTTATCAATAAAAGAATCTAAGAGACAGCAGATTACAATCACTCTTTAAATTTCTAAGTGTGACTTTCTCCCCAACCTCCCCTTTCATTCTAGTGTGCTCATGCTTAGTTTATGCATGCTTTAATTTCTTAAAAGTTTTGTTTACTCTTGCCTAGAGGCTGCCAAACTCCAAGCAGTCATACAAATGGAACCAAGGACAAATGTGCTAGAATTCTTTTACCGAGATCCACCAGATTGACCTTGTAAACAACTCATAACTGCCAAACTATACAATACGACTTCTAGGTTGGATTCTGAAGTCCCCTGGACAGTCTTTATCCACTTTGTGGAAGGCTATTACTAGTTCTTCCTGGTGGAAACCCTTGTCGGCTATATTCATAGCAATTCTCCTGACCTTATAATTTGGCCCATGTATTCTTAACTGTTTCTTTGGCTTTGTCTCCTCCAGACTCAAAGCTGTATGGCCACCAAGATGACAATGCCTGGAACCTATCAAAGGCCTTTAGATAGACCCTCTGTAGAGTAACTCTGACAGTGGATCACAACTACCACCCTCTTTCAGCTAGGAGTAGCCAGAACGGTGGTTGTCCTTTGCCCCTCACAGCAGTTAAAGGTACTTCTTCAGAGGGGGGAATATTGCAGATAGGTAAGTTAACTAGATATCTTGTAGGCAGTTAGACAGGGCCAGCCCATGAGGAGCCAACATGAAGGACAGTAAAGACACATTCACTGAAGACCAGCATTGTAAAAGGAGAGAAACTCCCACAAACATGTAGGATGAATAGCAGTGACTGATATTCTAAATAGGTATCAATCACCTGGGTGGGGGGCCAAGGTCTTAACCCAGGCTTTCCAGGAAATATCCCTGACCCACCCTTACTGAAAATCCTTGTATGTTTGCTATGTGACTTGCTCCCTCATTTGACCCCAATTTAATCAATATTACCTGGTAACTATACTTGTAGCCATATTGGTTGGTCATGGTTTTGTCCCACCTCATGCCCACCTTGTAAATTTCCATTGGGTCTTTTAGTTTTGTCCCACTTTGCACCTGCCTCACTACATGGCTTTGCTATATAAAACATCTTCAAAAGTTGGGGTGGGCAGGCAACCCACTTTCCGGTCCCCCTTCTGTCTCTCTTAGAAACTATCTTTCTATCAAATTTTTCCTACTCTTAAAAAAAAATTTATTCTGATACAATCCATGTACCATAAAACTCATCCTTAAAAAGCACAGAATCTTGTTTGTACCATACGCACAAACTGTATAACCATCACTACTATCAAGTTCTTCCTATTTTTTTAGCTATTATGAATAATGCTGTTATGGACAAGTTTTGGTGTCCATTTTTTTCAGGGTTTTTAGTATATTTTTCAGTTTCCTAGGAGAGAAATTGCTAGGGCATATGATAACTCTAGGCTGAACACTGTAAGAGCTTTGTTTTACAAAGTGGCTGTACCATTTTACATGTCCACCAGCAATGTACAATGGCTCTAATTTCTCTACACCTTTGCCAATTTTTGTTATTGTCCATCTTTTTGTTACAGCCATCCTAGAGGGTGTGAAATTGTATCTTAGTGTGGATTTGATTTCTATTTCCCTAATGACTAGTGATGATGAACATCTTTTCATATGCTTATTGGCCATTTGTACATGTTTGGCTGATCCCTTTCTGAGCCTTATGTCCATTCAGTTGTGGGTTTGTTTTGGTTTTGGTGTTGAGTATTGAGCCCGGGGACCCTGCACGTGCTATGCACATGCTCTACCACAGAGGCACACCCTCCACTGGGTCTTCATGTACATAATTTGTATACTCAGCCTCTAGTCCCATTTTGAATAAAATATTTAAATGGATGCTAGAACTTGGGTTTTAAAACATGATTTAAAATTTGCTCTCCTGTGGCTTTCAAAGGATTTATTATTTGAAGCCTCTATGTAAATATTTTCCCAAGCACCTACTTTATTAAAACAAACATACAAACTTCCTAACTCCTACCTTTTTGACCATCTGTAGCAGGCTCTCCCCTGACCACAGCAATTCAAACCTGGTATTCTGTGTCCCCCGGATCTTTTCATGATCATGCCTTCTCTGAAAAAGACACCAAATTAATCCATCATCTTCAAATTCACACTTAGCTTCTTCAGCCTCACAACCTGGGGCCAAATAAAACATCTCATTCTCACATGACAAAAGAAAAAAAATTGAAACAATGCTCCTAAAGAACTAAAATTGGGGCCCAGGAAGTAGGTCAGTGGTGCTGTGCCTTCCTGGCAAGCACAAGGTCTTGAATTCAATCCCAGGTACCAGGGGGAAAAAAACCTAAAATTAAAAAGTTAAGCCCTTTATATAATCAAGCTTTAATACAATATTGCGAAGGAATATAATCATTGAGTAAATTTCCATCTATTTATACATTTCTCTTATATAGCATTTAAAAAGTTATCAAAATGAGTTATAAGCAGCTAATTTTCTTAAGTGATTAGAAGAAAAGGCCCTAAATATTTGATTTTTTTGTGCATTTGCCCACCACACACTTGCTATGAATATTGGACACTCCCACCATTTCGGTAGAAGGAATCTGTGCTGTCAGCACATAAGAAAGACAGCAGGGCAGCTGCCACCATTGTTTATTACAGGAGATACTTTGCTTCACGTAAGTAGATAACCTCTGAGTCAAGTGGAGAGAAAAGCTACCAGTAAAGTTAGGGGTGCTCCATCACCATGGCATGCCACTAATATCAAATGTTAATGCTCATCAAGTTTTTACACTTCTCTATAAAGATCCAACATTGGAACTTACAGGCCCTTTGGTCCCAAATCACGGATGAAAGATAACTGGCTTATATCAAGGAATTCTGTCTGAAAAGAAATTTAAAAACACTTTAGACAGAAAAAATATGGAAAGGAAAATAAATTTGTGCAATATACACAGACCAAAAATAATGGTATTACCCTGAGAGTGTACTAATTAGAAGTACACAATTAAAACCCAACCAAGAAAGTACCATCTGCACTAGGATAAAGAGACAAAATATTTGAGTAGGTCATGGATAGTGAGTTTACTCCCAATATTGTTTTGTGTTCCTTTCTATTGTTGCGGAAGAGGGTTGCATGGCATGGTGTACACAAAGTAATAAAAGAATGCATGAAGGGATTGACATTAGTGTCAAGTTCTAGAAGACAAACTGACTTTAGGCACGTGGAGATGAGAGATAAAGGAGAGGGGAGATTGCTTAAGAAGTTGACAGATGTATAGGAAATCAGATGAAGGAGGTAAGGGAAAATCACATGGCCAAGCAGGTTGCAGAGGGATTAGGGAATGTCAGGCATTCACAGGAAGAATTTTTTTAATTAGTTGAAAAGGAAGAGAACTTCAGGGCCACCTCACTGTAGAAAGTACAAAGAGATTAAAACTTATAACAATTAGAATAAGAATAATTATGGCTAACATTGTGTTAAGCATTTTTTATGCATTATGTCAAACCTCTTTGAAGTAGGTACAGAAGAGAAAACCGAGGCTTATAGCAGGAGTAAGCAAAGTTTGTTTCTTTCTTTTGCAAAGAGCCAAAGTAAATATTTTCTGCTTAGTGGGCCATAGTCTCTCTGTTGTAAACCCTCAACTCTCCCAAGGTAGTATGGAAGCAGTCATAGATAACATATAAATGAATGTGTGGCTATGTTGAATAAAACTTTGTTTGTGATTATGAAAAATAAACATAATTTTCATGTGTCACAAAATTATCATTCTCAATTTTTTCAATCACTTAAAAATATATTCTTAGCTCAAAGAACATACAAAAATAGGCAGTGAGCTTAATTTGTTCCATGAGCTATAGCTTACAAACTCTTAGTCTAGAGAAGTTAAGTTTTCCAAGATAACATAATTAGCAAGAGATAGAATCAGTTTCAAGTCAGACAAAGTCAGTATCTGCAAAATTAAGCAGCAAAGGCAAAATATCATCAACATTTCTCTGGCCGGGGATTTGGCTCAGTGGTGCTGCTGCCTGCCTCGCAAGCACAAGGTCCCAAGTTGGATCTCTGGTACCAAAAACAAACAAACAAACAAACAAACAACAACAAAAAACTAACATTTCTCTCACTCAAATTGAGTTCCACCTAGTGAGGTGAGAACTAGATGAAAATGTGACAGTACAGAGTAAAAAAAAAACATCAAGAGTATGAGCAGCCTACATGCCCATCAACAGATGAATGGATAAAGAAAATGTGGTACATGTACATAATGGAGTACAAGTCAGGCACAAAGATGGACAAGTCTGAGTCACATGTTGGAAAATGGATGTACCTCGAGTCTGTAATGCTAAGGGAAATAAATTAAACACAGAAGGTTAAATATTGCACGGTTTCTCTTACATGAGAATCCCAAAGTCTATATAATGTAAATTTTAAAATAAAAGAAAGATAGTAGAAAAGAGGGTGATAAACTTTGTGGAAATCTGCAAATGGGGGGGAGAGGGGAAAGGAAAGGAAGGGAAATTAAAAAGGATCAAGATGGAATATGTATATGCACCAATACCACACAGTGAATATATTCAGTAGTATTGCAAATATCCAAAAAAAAGTTTGAATACTTAGGTAATGTTTAATATGCAGGGGTTTTACTCCCAATAATTCTTGAAAGATCTAGAATTAGACTTAACAATGTTCCTAACCCACTCTTTATTTTTTAAGCACCCAACAGTACACCTGTCAGTGACCTTACAACATGTCAACAGTAACCTCAACAGAAAAAAATCAAGGATATAAAAGATATCCTCCCAGCATCCAGAAGCAGACAGGGGAGATTAGACATAGGACAAAGTTCTGTAGGAAGACCTGTACCAGGTACATGTGAAAGTAGTTAAAAAGTTACAGAGGAGGGGCAGGAGGGTGATCAAGCGGCACTTGATCTACTCGTGACTGGGATTAACAGAATGAAACATACAGTCTTCCTTGAAAATTTAATATGGGATTGAAAATATGTAATATTAACCTTGTAACAAAAAATAACAGCTGTCAATTCTTGTGAAGTTCAATTAAATGCTTGCATTTCTTTCTTTTCTTGGGGTCATTTGCAGAAAGCAGGTTTTTAAAATTCTAAAGGTCTTAAATAACTTTTTAAAATCCCAAATTAAACATATCTTCACAAGGCACTTTTTAAACTAAGGCTTTTAAAAGTCAAGGTCTTTAAATTTCATTTCTTATATAAAACACTGATTCAACAGCATGCATTTTTATCTGATATGCGGAAGAACTTTCTAATTGGAAATGTAGTAACCCACAGGTTATTAGAAGTGACATTCAGACTGTCAACCATAGAATCCAAATGTTTTAAAACCCTAAGCCAGAACTTCTCATTTTATCTTTAGAAACCAGACAGATAATGTCAATCTGGGTTTACAAATGAAGAAAAGCACTAAATTTATTTAAAGTCAAGAACAATTGAATGGAAGAATAAGAAGTGAAAACAAAAATCAAGGAAACCACATGACTAAAACCTAGATGTTTTCTTATTCATATACACTGTAGTTCATATCAAATAATTGATAATATACATATAAACATTCTCTGAAATAATTTAGAAATTATAACTTTAGAATATAATTGTTAAGTATAAAGAATTTTATGTAAATAAAAATCTATATTACTAATGTACAAAATTATCTTACACATTAACATAAAATTTATTTTAATGGCTGAGGAAAGTTTGACCAAAGAGAAATTTCAAGGAGGAACCAGTACCATTAGAGAGATGGGGAAAAACTCTCTGGCAATAAACATCCTAATACAGATTTATAAATTGAAAGCCAATGTGTCAAGGTCAACAGAGAGCAAACTTAACTAACAAAATGTAAATTTTAACAGAGATTATACTGTCCAAATTTCTTAGTGCATCTTCAGTGATAAGAATCCCATTCTCCTTTTGAAAAAGTGATTTTCAGAAATAAGAATTCAAAGATCAATTTAATCTAACAATATTCCATTCCATATGGCTGAGTAAAGTTCTAATCAATATCTTTTTGTTTTAATAAAAGAAGTTGTGAAAAATGCAATTAAATAATATTTTTGGCACTAGGCAGAAAGTGGTCCCAAGTAGAAAACTCCAGTGTGACTTAACTGGGTGCTTCAGAAAGTTAGAGAAACAGGAAAGCAAAAAAGAGTTGCCATGAGAAGAGACAAGCAACGAATTCTAAGGCTAGTAACAAGGCCTAGACATTATTTGGCAAGCACATCCACAGGGCACTTTCTACTCATCTTTGTATTATAAGAGAAAGGAGATTTCAGGGGCCCCTTTCATTCCTCAAGCAGTAAAAATTCAAGTGAGAGGCCAAGTGGGAAACAAGTAGACAGGAAAACAGCTTTGGGTGGGGCCATCCCCTGGGAGTGAGGCTGGGAAGAAGGCGAGAATCCTGGAGAAAGGGTCCCCTTCCAGGTAGAATAGCTATCATGTCTACAGGGGATGGAAAGACATCCAACTACAGAGGAAATGGCAGGTTGCACCAAGGCCTATGGTCCCTCCAAACTCTATGTGTCAATGCAGCTGTTCAACTCACACAGTTTTCTCTGTTTGGAATGGAAATGGAACTTCTGTGTGCAGCTTTATTTCTTACCTACTCTTTCTCTCAGGTTAAAGTGATTCAGTCTACCAAACGAGGGAAGGGTAAAGTCAATATTATTGATCTGTGGGGTGTTTTATCCAAGATTTCAAGTTAATCATTATCTTGAAGATAAGGAATCTGAGTCACAGATTTAAATGGTTTGCTTCAAGTTAGGATTAAGATGTGGTCCTACTGGTTTAGGGCCTTCTCTTGGAAACTGTATATTTTGCTCAATGTTTAGATTTTAATCTTAAAGAAGAAAAAAAAGGTACATTTATGTTTTTTATTCCTCTTCCTTTTAATTCCATGGAAAATAAGCATTTTCCATTTACTAATTAAAAAGCTCAGTGGGTTCTGTAGTACAGCTAGCACTCATATAATTTCAGAACACAATAGGAATTCCTGTTGGATATTTTTTTGCATGTTATTGTGCAACTAGGTTTGATATCACTTTTTAAAAGCATATTTATCCCTAGAGAAAAGGTGAAATATATGTATGCCAATTTTACAAGAAAAGATTGAAAGCAAGAAAAGTGAATTACCAATAATCTCTGATACTGGCTCAATTATACACTGGGATGTTCTGTTTATCAGAACTACCAGGAAGAAAAAAGGAAATTAAACAAAGGTAGTTCTCATAATCCTGGAAGAAAAGATTGCTGTCTGAGTGCAAACCCAACCATCCGCTATATAAAAGGAAGAAGGAAGAACTGTCTAGGACTAATTTCAAAAGCCATTTAAAAAAATAAAGGAAAAAAAGAGAATAGAAGGAAAAACTGGAAACAAAGCTTTTGTAAATAAGTAGAGGAACAGGGGTTGAAGGGAGGGGAAGGGATTGGGAAAAACAAGAAGAATCAAGCTATATCATGTACATGTACAAATCCCATATGATAAATGCTATTACTATGTATATCTAAAATGTACCAATAAAATTAATTTTTTAAAAAAGAAAAAGGAGCCAGTCCTTTGAAGTACTGACTCAGTTCTTCTGGGTAAATCCTACTACATAATAATAAATCTTTCTGTACTTTTTTTAAGTAGTCCAAATTCACCAAGATGTTACTAGGCTGACCATAGCATTTTATTTTAGTTCTCAAATTCTCCTAATGATAAAAATCACCTGAATTATTTACCAAAATTACAGACTCCAAATACAGATCTGGACACTTGTATAATTAAGGACATGTCCACTGACCACACCATGATTTTACCAGTTTAAAGACCTGAGTTGATTTCAAATAGATTTGTTTTATACTCCTAAACTATAAATGTATCATATATGTAAAAATAACTGTTACTATGCTTTTTGCAGTTGTATTTTTAAAATATTCTCCACTATTACTGAAGGAAATTCAATGGGTGCCTATTTAATTTCCTAGTGTTTAGGCCAGATTAAATTTAGTATACGAGGAAAATAACATTCGAGAATGAATGTATATCAAGTTGCCTCCTATGCTTGAATTATTTTAGAGAATTCAATTGTTGGAAGGAATGATCTCAGTAACAACCAGAAACAAGATGGGTAGGGGGATAGTGGTAACATATTCACTAAATTGCTAAGTTTTCACCTCCAAGAGAAATGATTATGAAGCACAATGGGATTTCTAAATGCAATACGGCATAATGTTGAAAATATTTTTATGACTGGAAAAGTAATTAAAATGAACAGTTAAAAATGTAAACATTCTTTACATAAGAAGCTAAAGTGTCATGGTGTACATGGAAAGAGAAGACTGAACTCACCAAGTGCTGTCCTAAAGCCAGAAGAAATAGTATAAGTAAACTTGCAGGCAGGCAGAAAAGCAAGAGAAATGGAAGATTATTGCTTGTGGGTATTAATACCCATTTAAATAATTCTCCATTAAAGAGAAAAGCTGGTCTGATGTCAAACAACACAAAAAGTGGCAGCATTTCTAGCAACAGCAGCAGAGTCTCCTCATTTGTTATGTGTTCTGAGTCCTAGAAAAAGACAAGACCCCTCTCATCTTGCTTCTCTTGAGATCCACTAGTGGAACCCAAATTGCTGGCTTTCCTGAAAAAAATGCTTCTCCAGGATTATGAAGCCATAGAGCTACTTAAAGTCCATGGAACATCACAATGCAAGCAGCTGCAAGAGGTGGGGCATGGCCTGATTTGGGCTGGTGGTGTGTGCAGGAGACCTAGTGGGTGTGTATTTGGACCAGGATCCAAATTACCTGGCAGCAGCCAGTACAAGAGTGGCTCCTGCCACTGAGAAATTCAGTGGAGCCCAGCACTTCTGCTTCCGCTCTTACATACACAGAGGGCTTCCCTCTTCTGTTCACATGTTTGTGTGATGGAGTTCTCTAAACTAAAGGCCAAGTCACACTGTGCCTTAAATTTTGCATATGCATCACATATGTATGTACATATGTACAGCAAGTTTATACATATGCAGATATGAATATAACAATCCAGACAGTCTCAGGTATCCAGACTGAAAGCTAATCTTCTAAATCTCCACCCTAACACACACACACACACACACATACACACACACACACACACACACACTTCAAGGGGCTCTATGAGGGCCAAGCTCGTTCACTGACACTGTGAAGCCCACTTCCTCCTACCTCCCTCCCAAGCTAAATCTGTGACTGCTTCTAAGCCCACCACCCTTCTCTGTTTCCTTGGATTTCTCAAGAGCTTTTTTTCTTTCCCTAGCTTTTCCCATGCTTCTCACCTTCAGATGAGAAGATAAGCCAATCAGATGGCAGGGGAAGTCTACTCTGTATAATCTTGGAGTATTCAACTCTGCTAAACTGCTACTCAAAAATTTTTCTGTGGAGCTAGAAAGGGTTTTTGGCATTATTCTAGAAGCCTAATGGGAGAAAAGAGTTGATTTCTAGATAATCTGGCGGATAGTAGCATTTAAATTTGCTTTAAATCTGTTGTTATTGGCATATTAATTTAGATTTAGTATTTTTTTAAGTGCATATCACCATAAATTGAGTCCTTGCTATCAAATCAATTTTGTATTTATTAAAATATTTTAATTCAAGGTATAAGGTACACATGGAAAAAAGCCTTTAAGTTAAAATTATCGGAAATTTAACTCACAAGTCCCCACTTTATAAATTATTTCAAAATTTAGATTACTGAATAGTACTTACTGTGGCATGATAGTTTTTATACATGGGCATTTTTAGTATCTTTGTCAGGTAATCTTCCAGTTGTTTCTGTAATGCAAATAATTTTAGGTAAGAGTTAATAGGTCATATTTATAGAAGAATGTAAACAGTGACAATAATGAGATCATTTCATATTAACTTCTATAAGTTATTCAGCTGTTTAGTAATATTATCAGTAGAAGAGAATCCTAAATAGCATGAAGCTATTATTTCTATAGTTCTCTTGAATTATTATTTAACTTTCTTCTTGCTATTTCACTTTCCACATACTTAGGCTTTTACACATTGCTGAGAAGGCCTGAGCTATATGTTTTTAACTTTTGATAGCTATTAGAACAGGAATTGTATATAGTAGGTAATTTAATGTATGTATTGGTTTTACAAAAAAACCTGTGTTTTTTCAGTTCCAATATTTAATTTACTGGAATATACATCACAATTTTTAAACAGCTTTCAAGGAAAAAAAAGCGGGGGAGGTTTTTAAAGGAAAAAGACTATCTAGTAAAATTTACCCTGATTGTAAATATGTTAGATGGTGTATGTTGTATGGGGAAGTAGGGATAAAGGCTTGGGCAGTAGAGCACTATAGTTTAAGCATATTGACCATGACACAAAATTCAGCACCTTTTCACTGAAGCCCTAAGGGTTAATAGCTATAATCATCTTCAGTTGGACTCAGATATGTGCACACACTAAGCCAAAACTGGATAATTTCATATGTCCAGTGTCTTGGAAAATATTTAGTCCAGATCCCTGAAAAGATTTTAAACAAAATGACAACTACAAAGGAAAAATCAAATCTTCCTTTTGGGACACAAAACTTTCAGATTATCAAACAGAAATGAGAGAAATGAATGAATTGCTTATTAATATCATAATAAAAAAGGCATCTGCCACCCCAAAGTAGACCAGGAAGAAATGTCCCTCGTCTTGAGTTTCCTGCCCAAGCACATCTGTGCTCCTATGCTTCTCAGACCTTAATGGCCCAATCTATAGCATAGGAATGTGATTTTACATATATTTTGAACAAGTTACCACAAATACAAAAGCAAATAGATGAAAATATATGGCTTTAAAAGCATAGATTTCAAATTTCACAATATGCTCAGGCTTTGACAAAAGCCAGCCCATAGAGCTGGAAGGCTAGCCTCTTGGTAACATAATGCCTATGAATACTCTTCCTCTTCTGGGACCATGTACCCTCTTCGTGGTTTGGGGAAGTGGCTTCAGGGGGAAGGGGATGTCTTACTAGCTCCAGAGAAACTGAACCAACTATGGCCACCAATCAGCGGGTGAGAGAAATTGCAGCCAGATCCCCCTTTACCAATCATTAGATGCCATAGTTTCACAGTGCAACAAAATTATGTTCAAAACAACAGTAGGGAAAAAACTTACCCTTCTTCCATAGAACTGTTCTTCTTGAATCCTATTTTCATGTGAACTGGGCAAACTGGGCATTTCTCGAGGCGCTTCCCCTTTGACATTTTGTCTTCTAAATGTGTGCCTAAAACACAGACACACATACGCAATGCAATCATTCATTAGATTAGTCTTTGACTATAACTCTCATATCTTACATGAGATGGCTTTTTTGTGTTTTATTAGTATGTTTGCAATTCATGCAGTTTACAATCATCTTGGGGAGTGGTTACATGTACATATTACAGCTTGTTCCTTTTAGAGATGGCTCATTTTTCAAAGAGCTTATTTAATCAGAAATGTCTACCAACAATTGACTAGATAGCCTACAAAGTGAACAAAATACATTTTCTATCCAACTTGAATACTAGGATAACCTTATATTCATTCTGAAAAGGTTACCTTTTAGTGGGAATGGGGATGCGGATAAAGGCTTTGTACTTGAGCAGTTCTCTGTGAAATTCTTGAAAGTGCTTGAATTTCCTCTTAACTTGCCATTTAAATTCCCCATGTGTTAATTCAATAGTGTATAGATTGATACTTGGCACCTATAGTGATAAATAAAAATCATTAATATCATAGACTAAAAAATACAAAAGATTTCAATTAACCATATCTAATTAATGGACATATACTCAAGTTCAGACTACATATTCTATTTAAGTACTTAAGCAATTTTTTTTGGTACCAGGGATCTATCTCAGGACCTTGTGCTTGTGAGACAGGCACAGTGCCACTGAGCTAAGTACCCAGCCCTTAAGCCAACTATTTTTCAAAACCTGATTACAAAATATTCTCTTAAACTTTCATCTGATAAATTATATATAACAAAACTTTGAATCAAATCAAAGACAAACTCCTATAAATCTTGTTCCTTCAACACATGTATGCGTACATGCACATGTGTGCACACACACACACACACACACACACACACACACACACACTGGAAACCAGAAAGCAGGTGATAAAGAAAATGAACAAAGGCCCTAATTAGCTCTGAGCAGCCTAGTCTGCACGTTTAAGCAGTGAACAGGTAGTTGACAGAGGTGGGAGAGAAGCAGGAGATAATGGAAGGCAGGAGCACCATCTTAGCCCTTTGGCCTTCCACAAATGGCATGAATGCTTTCTCTCTTCCTTCTGAAACATGTTCCAAAGTTCAGGCTCATCTATACCACATCCCTGCCCTGAGGCCACACCAGTGTTCAGGAAGAGTGTGTGGAGAAAGCTGATGCACTGGTGAATATTCAGAATATACTTGTGTGTATATATACTATTGTTATCATTAAATCCTTGTAACAAATACACAAGGCAAGCACTATGATACTCATTGCTTGGATGAGCAAAATGAGACAGAGATTAGGTAGCTTGCTCAAGATCACAAAGCAAACACAGGAATTAAAACATGTAGTCTGGCTCTAGAGTGTATACATTTAACTCCTACCTATAACTGTCTCTCAATCTAAAAGTTGCCAGGCAATATGAGGCAATGGTCATCTTAGAGATGCTCAGCAGTTCATCAGGGAGACATGGGCCCCACTCCTAGGAAAAGCCTAAACCAAAAGCTGGACACCAAGGTGGGTGTGAAGTGAGAGTCAGCACAGACTAGGACAGAGAACTCAGCAGAACCAGCACTGTCACCTCTCAGGGCACGAGGAGAGAGGAAGAGGAAAGTCTGCCCATGGCCAAGTATTATTCTCTCCCTTCTCTGAAGCAGGATCCAGTGACAGCCTTACCCTGCCTTTGCTTGCACTTAACCTGATGGACAAGGGCCACCTTCACTGACACCTTTCCTTGCCTGCCTGACTTAAAAGCTGCAAAATCCAGGAAGTCACAGATCAAACACAGTTCAACCACCCCCAGCTTTCCCTTTCAAAGGGCTCAGCTTTGCTTGCTAAAGACATTTACTCTAAGCTTTTTCTGTGTTCAACGAAAACATGTTCATGAGGACCAAAGGACAGGTTTCCAGGAAATAATCAGAGAGGCAGTGTTAGCTAGGAGAATCCTCTCAGGGGGGGCTCTTGGGTAATAGCACTGGCCACTCCTGCATCCTGGCATTTTTATTTTCTTTTAAGAGTCAGCTGACTTTGACTCAGCATTCTAGTTAAAATACATAAGTCCCAAGAATACAAATGAGAAGAAAATTGGAGAGAAAGGAAAGTGAGGAGAGGCATTCTGCAATTTATTTAGTTAATAAATTGCCATAAATGCCATTAAAAAAACATTGTTCTGCAAGGGGGAAAGAGGAGTATGAGAATAAAGATTAAAAGAGAAGGAAGCAAAATCCTGAGAGATGATGAGGACTTGGAAGTGACAAATAAAAAACAAAAACATAAAAACATGATTCTAACTAGGAGGAAGGAAAATAGAAGTCAAAGTATTAATTCATACACATTGACCAAAAAAAGATGAGTCCATAAGAGCTCTGACCCTTGATGTAGATGTGAAACGCTCCACTTCCAGAACTTGTGCTTTTATTGGACAGCCGGAGAGATACGTCTGTATATTAGGCTCCTTAAATCCTTGAGTGTTATAAATAGCAGAGAAAGGGATACACACTACAAAATAAATAAGTAAATAAGGTTATTCCAATGTGTGACAGTGGTGTGACTTGCCTTCTATAGGCATCCTTTCAAGAGTCATAATTATTAAAATGAGTAAGCCTCTTAGAAGCTCATCTCAGCCCAGTGTTATGTTATTAATGAGGACAAATCATTTGCTGCTTTTTCAAATTGTGCTCTGCAACCATACTGACAAGCTCTTCCTCCCTCACATCATCAGTCTTTACCTTCTTGAGCCTTGGGGTCACCAGGAAACACATCATATTCCACCTCCTCTCCTTCAAAATGGAGCTCTCGTGTGTCCAGATTTTCTATCAAATTGCTCATGTCGGCAGCAATTTTCTGCAGTGCAGAGGTATTTACTCTTGACTCATTTTTCAATGACATGTTAACTTTGGACATGGTAAAAGCAGTGGGGCTGAGGAAGAAGAAAAGGGTTACATTGATGCATCATTTGACCTAGTAAAACCCTATCACACAATGTGAATCTAGGCTTAGAAACAGCATCTAAAAACAAGTCACCTAGCTCCATGTGAACCCTACTTATCCCCAACAACAACATTTCAATTGATTTTCCTGCTTAACATTTAAAGGATTCCTAGCCTGTAAATTAAAATGAAGTAAAATATTTAGCTGTAAACAAGAAAGAAAAAGAAACATCACATTGAAGAAATGCCAACATTTTTCTCATCAAATTTTGTGAGCTTAGATAAATTAGGATAGATTTAAAGGAGATTGATTTGGGAACGCTGATTCAGAGAAAAGAAATTGCTTGTTTACTGTAATAAACACATGGAAAGAGAAAATGTTATATAAAATAAGCAGCTTTCACTGTTTCTTAAAGAAAAATTATATTTCATATATCTAAATTGGCAAATTTAGGAACATTTTAATGATAGCAAATCTTTCTACATTTTCTCTGTAGGTGACATCCCATGCAAAGAGTTTATTACCTCTTTGAGATATGAGGTGTTGGCCATGACTTTGATTAATATACCTGTTCCTAAAGATACTTGAGGTGCTAGAATTATACTTTCCTACTTTTTTGAAAGAAAACCAGTTCTATTTCATTCTGACATTTAATAACACAAGTCGTTGCACATCAGTACCCAGGGAAGAAGAGTTCATATAGATTTTATTTTTCATTTAAAATACTGAGATTTAATCCTTAAGGACTGTCATCTGAGCTGCATGAAAAGTCTATATTGCCTGATGTAAAAATAATCTCTCTGTTATGACTAGGTCCAAAATGTAAAGTCTCTCATACCAGTAATTCTTCTGCACATGCTCATTTATTACTGCAAATCAAAAACATTAACTATGTATCCATGTGTGAGACGCAATGAAAGAAAATGTAAAGATGAAGAAGGCTTGTCCCTGTGACAAAGGTGCTCCTGACATGGGTGAGAGAAATAGCCAAAGAATTCCAAGTTCATCCCTGATATCATTCAAGGTCTTAAGCTTACTGAAAATGGAATGTACTAAGAGGAAAGCACTAAGCAAGGCTCTTTCCTACAGACGCTATCAAGAAGGTTGATGCTCACATGGAAGTGCTAAGAACCTCAAGCAAGCTCAGACAGCTTTTATCACAACCCCACAAGTCTCTAAAATGTATACACTGCTTTGTAGAAAGAACTTGCTTGCAAATTCAAAGATAAGGGTGAAGAACACTGGTTCTGCTTTAGCCATATATGCATGTATAATTCATATATAAGCTACCTGTGAACTGTGCGATCTATAATGTTTCTTTTTCCATATTCACTATAAAGAAGCTTGAAGACAATTTTATAGCCTGCTATTAACAAAATATAGGACTATCTTTGGTCATATCTCTTCCTTTCAACTTCTCTCTCATTTCTAATTTGTATTATAATAATAGTTAATGGATACTGTTTGCTTAGTATTTATCTGGCTGGTGATAATTGTTTATATCATTATTACATTGATAATTAATAATAAATCTATGAAGGTTTCCTGTTTCCATTTTGAAGATGACAAGAGTTTGCCATCCCCTCTTTTTAGGTAAGGAAACTAAGGCACAGGCATCTGATAACTTAACCGAGCCTTCAGACAACCTGTCCAAGGACACATAACTAATAAGTGGCAGAGCAGACATTTCAATCCAGGCTTCCCTGACTCAAAAGCCAATGTTCTCAACCATAGTCACTATCATGGTGTCTTTTTTTTTTTAAGCTCTGTAAGTGGCCTTGAATAGAGAGAAGTGTTAATATATACAAGGACTCCTGTATAAAGCTGATTGTATTGAAAAGAACTGCAAATGAAGTTCTTCCTGTAGCTCAGTCTCCACAGGACAAAGTCATTTCAACTCTCAAGACCTTGGTTTCCTCATCTCTCACTTAAAGGGATCAGGGATCAGGGATCGAGCCATTTCATTTCTAGGGTCCCTTCACAATAAAACACTAATTATAGATAAAAGGTGCCATGAAATTGTTCGGCCTCCCTTATAATTGAATTATTTATTCCTTCCTCTATCCCAAGAAATTAATACAAGTAGTTTTGCATTTGAATATGAGAAGTAGGGGCAGAATGTTTTCTAACCTGGATTATTATTTAAGGTCTATTCAGTCTCTACTAAGGAGCTGCTATTGCTGGCCACAAGTAAAATAATTATTTCCTTTTCTCTTAATTCAACAAAGAAACATTTAGTAGATCCCAACAATGAGCCACATTTGGCTTTATTTAAAATATAAGGTAATGAAAAGTTCAGAGTGAAGGAGACAAGGAAAAATAAGTCAGAAATCATATCATTGTCACTTGCTAATATTTAAAGATTTTAGGTATTTTTAATCGATAAAACAGACTCAACCGTTAACTTTGCCAACTTTCTCTGCATAGTGAAGAAAAATAAGGGTTACTCCAAATGACCTTCCTTTGAACAAAGGGCTAACTTTAAAAATGCATGTTAATTTCAGGGTACACAGAGACTACACATTGTAATATTTAATTGGGATAAACAGTATAGAGTCACTGGATTAAGCTAAAATAAATACCTTACTTCAGATAGAGAGAAAAAAAGCATAGTAACTTGTGGGAAACCTGTGGAAAAGTTAGAAAAGAAACAAATGATAAAAGCCTTGATGATAAAAGCATCTTATCCCTTATCATCAAACATTTATTACAGACTAAGCATAATTTTTGCACAATTATGTTTATACTCAAAAAAGACCCTACTTCATGGGTATGATTACTCTGCAAGATTTAGTTAAAATAATCTGCCCAAGATCACTCAACTTGTGTCAAAATTGATTGGAGATGGGGGAGGTGCTGGGGATTGAACCCATGGCCTCAAGCATGCTAAGCAAGTGCTCTACCACTGAATTACACACCACCTCAAGGTTGACTTTTTAAAGCAGATCTGACTGGCTCTAAAATCTTAAGAACTTGGTTACAAAGGTTCATAATAATTGATTTTATTTTATGCTCTCAAACATCTATCAATGTAATCTTTAATATAAAGTTTACTTATGTTTTGTGACAAGAGATATCCTCTATTTTAGTTCCCATACCTTAAAAAGGGTCATATTAAACCTACAGTCATTAGAATGATGGAAACGACATATCCTGACAGCTTCCTGAATTCTTATGTTTAATGAAGTAAGATTACATGAAAGTTCAGTAGACCCAAAGGGTCTGCAGATTTGTGCATGCATTTGGGAAGACTTCCCCACTTAACAACGGAAAATGGACCAAGTGATTTATCCATCACTATCTTCACCTGAGTACTTCATACTGTTCTATGTTGAATTTTTATCCAACAATTGCACTACTGGTACAATTCCTGAATACCAAGCCACAAGGCTATCTATGCTTCTATGTTGTCAAATCTTTACTCACTATGATATGGAAAAGTTTTAGATAACTTAATAGATTGAATATTAAGGTAGTTGTAGAAGCAAAATAAGCAATGTGTTCTTTTTAGATTTGCTTTTTCTGTAACTCCTTGTTTAAGGTGAGGATTATCTGACTCTATAACCAGTAACTTCATTAACCTAACAAAGCTACCATGCCAGGGTGAATTTACAATGTATATGGTCTATCTTGTGTCTGTGACTTGTAGATAGGAACTGGAATTGTATTTACATATCAAAGACCACTAGGGATGAGATAATGACTGAAAAGGTTATAAAAAGGGAAATGCTGAAAAAAAGGGGCACGGATATTGACCAGACTGGTTTCTGGCATTCCTGTCCACCCGCGAGAAGAAATTTTATTATTTTATTCGAATTCTGTGTCTCTGTGTATTTCTTTCTGAGATTTCTGCAACAATTAGTCAATGTTCTCTTTCACCTACAATAATCTACCCTGGGGTGGGGGCAGTGAGCAGTTGCCCAGCTACAGCCTATGCTAAGCAGCAGTGAGATAAGGCTCCCAGTGTTACACTTGAGATAGTGTAATTCATTTTGTTACCTCCTTATAAAATTATTGCAAGATCATTATCTCTTTCCGTACCAAGAGGAGACAGTGCCCATGAAAAGATAAGAGCAGCTGTGTTTTACTTCTGCTTACTTTGGTAAATGAGGGTTGGGTTCTTTTTTTCCTGGTTGTGAATATTAGAGTTAAAGTCTTTACAGGGAATATTTAATGACTTCCAGTTATTCAGTGATGAAATTTTAAAAATCTAGCATCTTCTTCTGATGTGTCTTCAACAAGATTAAGAAGCAGAATAAACATCAAAGAGAAGCAGTTATTTTCCTTTTAGGATAATAAATATATAAACATTCCCTTAGCCAAAATAACAGGAACAATGTTATCAACTATAATTGATATTAAAGTAAATATTAACATTAGCTAATGTTTGCTGAATATGTATTAGATGCCAGACACTATACAAAGAGATAAACCACATGATCTCATTCAGTCCTTGCAAAGTCTTAGAAGCTAAATTTTACTGTTAACCACATTTTAGTGTTTTTTTTGGACTGGGGATCAAACTCGGGACCTTGAGCTTGTGAGGCAAGCGCTGGAACCACTGAGCTAAGTCCCCAGCCCCATTAACCACTTTTTAATGAGAAGCTTAGACAAAGTAAGAAGTATGCTCAGGGACACAGGGGTGGGTGGTGAGAGTGTTGGGTCTGACCCTGGTTGATAAAATTCCAAAGTCTCTCTACTTAATAAACTGGCAATGAGACTGGAGGTACAGGAAGTTACTGGGAGACATTGACTCCTTAAGTTATATGTTCTTTAAAAAAAAAAAGGAACAATAACAACAACAAAATCCCAGCATTCATTCTTTGAAGATAATTGTGACTTACTTCTTGCTTCTCTTTCTAAATAATATGCAAAGTTCTCCCATACTTTTTCTTATATGTTATTTGTACTTATAGAGAGAATTAAACACAATCAGTTTCTAAGCCAAAAGTTATATAATCTATGAATATATCATTAACTATAATTAGA